GAATGCTGTAGGAGAAAGCATTGTAGATCACAGGAGTAAGAGGCCCCATCAAGAATCTACTTTTCTGGGTCTGGACTAGGAGGGAGGAATTGGTTCAAATATGAGAAGGGTCCACTCAAGGCTTGGAAATTTGAAAAAAAAAATTGGAAATTTGAAAAATTATTAATACTTGTTTAATAATTTGTCATGGTCATATGGCTCTGCACTTCCTTGTTGCAGCTGTCAGTGAAAGGGCCAACCCAGCACAGTATTTCTCGCCAGAAGCAACACTTTGTTCTCATTACTTTTCAAGTACAGTTCTGTAGGTTTCAGAGCTTCCAATACACATCTGAAGCTTTAGCTGCTGCTTTATTTTTTTTTATGTATTATTAGTGTGGTTGAAATATCATGGAATTGATTGCTTTAGAGACTGAAGTCTTCTACTTTTATTGGCAAGAAAGTGGGTTAGTCAATTCAGCCATTCAGACCTCTGTTGAGACTGCCTATGAGGTTGCCAATATGGCTCCACCCTGATTTGGGGGAAAATATTTAGTGGGGAGAATCTGAACCATAGGTACTGGAACTAAGGGTATGTCTACACTACGGAATTAGGTCGAATTTATAGAAGTCAGTTTTTTAGAAATCGGTTTTATACATTCGAGTGTGTGTGTCCCCACAGAAAATGCTCTAAGTGCATTAAGTTCATTAACTCGGCGGAGTGCTTCCACAGTACCGAGAGGCAAGCGTCGACTTCCGGAGTGTTGCACTGTGGGTAGCTATCCCACAGTTCCCTCAGTCTCCGCTGCCCATTGGAATTCTGGGTCGAGATCCCAATGCCTGATGGGGCTAAAACATTGTCGCGGGTGGTTCTGGGTACATATCGTCAGGCCCCCGTTCCCTCCCTCCGTGAAAGCAAGGGCAGACAATCGTTTCGCGCCTTTTTTTCTGAGTTACCTGTGCAGACGCCATACCACGGTAAGCATGGAGCCCGCTCAGGTAACCGTCACCCTATGTCTCCTAGGTGCTGGCAGATGTGGTACTGCATTGCTACACAGTAGCAGCAACCCATTGCCTTCTGGCAGCAGACGGTGCAATACGACTGGTAGCCATCATCGTCATGTCCGAGGTGCTCCTGGCCACGTCGGCTGGGAGCGCCTGGGCAGACATGGGCGCAGGGACTAAATTTGGAGTGACTTGACCAGGTCATTCTCTTTAGTCCTGCGGTCAGTCCTATTGAACCGTCCTGTGGTGAACAGGCAGGTGATACGGATTGCTAGCAGTCGTACTGTACCATCTTCTGCCGAGCAGCCATGAGATGTGGATGGCATGCAGTCCTTCTGCACCGTCTGCTGCCAGCCAAAGATGTAAGAGATAGATGGAGTGGATCAAAACAAAAAATAGACCAGATTTGTTTTGTACTCATTTGCTTCCCCCGCTCCCCTGTCTAGGGGACTCATTCCTCCAGGTCACACTGCAGTCACTCACAGAGAAGGTGCAGCGAGGTAAATCTAGCCATGTATCAATCAGAGGCCAGACTAACCTCCTTGTTCCAATAAGAACAATAACTTAGGTGCACCATTTCTTATTGGAACCCTCCATGAAGTCCTGCCTGAAATACTCCTTGATGTAAAGCCACCCCCTTTGTTGATTTTAGCTCCCTGAAGCCAACTCTGTAAGCCATGTCGTCAGTCGCCCCTCCCTCCGTCAGAGCAATGGCAGACAATCGTTCCGCGCCTTTTTTCTGTGCGGATGCCATACCAAGGCAAGCATGGAGGCCGCTCAGCTCACTTTGGCAATTAGGAGCACATTAAACACCACACTCATTATCCAGCAGTATATACAGCACCAGAACCTGGCAGAGCAATACCGGGCGAGGAGGCGACGACAGCGCTGTCACGTGAGTGATCAGGACATGGACACAGATTTCTCTGAAAGCATGGGCCCTGCCAATGCATGCATCATGGTGCTAATGGGGCAGGTTCATGCTGTGGAACGCCGATTCTGGGCTCAGGAAACAAGCACAGACTGGTGGGACCGCATAGTGTTGCAGGTCTGGAACGATTCCCAGTGGCTGCGAAACTTTCGCATGCGTAAGGGCACTTTCATGGAACTTTGTGACTTGCTTTCCCCTGCCCTGAAGCGCATGAATACCAAGATGAGAGCAGCCCTCACAGTTGAGAAGCGAATGGCGATAGCCCTGTGGAAGCTTGCAACGCCAGACAACTACCGGTCAGTTGGGAATCAATTTGGAGTGGGCAAATCTACTGTGGGGGCTGCTGTGATGCAAGTAGCCCACGCAATCAAAGATCTGCTGATATCAAGGGTAGTGACCCTGGGAAATGTGCAGGTCATAGTGGATGGCTTTGCTGCAATGGGATTCCCTAACTGTGGTGGGGCCATAGACGGAACCCATATCCCTATCTTGGCACCGGAGCACCAAGCCACCGAGTACATAAACCGCAAGGGGTACTTTCAATAGTGCTGCAAGCTCTGGTGGATTACAAGGGACGTTTCACCAATGTGGGATGGCCGGGAAAGGTACATGATGCTCGCATCTTCAGGAACTCTGGTCTGTTTCAAAAGCTGCAGGAAGGGACTTTATTCCCAGACCAGAAAATAACTGTTGGGGATGTTGAAATGCCTATATGTATCCTTGGGGACTCAGCCTACCCCTTAATGCCATGGCTCATGAAGCCATACAGAGGCAGCCTGGACAGTAGTCAGGAGCTGTTCAACTACAGGCTGAGCAAGTGCAGAATGGTGGTAGAATGTGCATTTGGACGTTTAAAGGCACGCTGGCGCAGTTTACTGACTCGCTTAGACCTCGCTTAGACCTCAGCGAAACCAATATTCCCACTGTTATTACTGCTTGCTGTGTGCTCCACAATATCTGTGAGAGTAAGGGGGAGACGTTTATGGCGGGGTGGGTGGTTGAGGCAAATCGCCTGGCTGCTGGTTACACGCAGCCAGACACCAGGGCGGTTAGAAGAGCACAGGAGGGCGCGGTACGCATCAGAGAAGCTTTGAAAACCAGTTTCATGACTGGCCAGGCTACGGTGTGAAAGTTCTGTTTGTTTCTCCTTGATGAAACCCCCCGCCCCTTGGTTCACTCTACTTCCCTGCAAGCTAACCACCCTCCCCTCCTCCCTTTAATCATTGCTTGCAGAAGCAATAGAATCATTGTTGCTTCACATTCATGCATTCTTTATTCATTCATCACACAAATAGAGGGACGACTACCAAGGTAGCCCAGGAGGGGTGGTGGAGGAGGGAAGGAAAATGCCACACAGCACTTTAAAAGTTTACAACTTTAAAATTTATTGAATGCCAGCCTTCTTTTTTTGGGGCAATCCTCTGTGGCGGAGTGGCTGGTTGGCCAGTGGCCCCCCACTGCGTTCTTGGGCATCTGGGTGTGGAAGCTATGGAACTTGGGGAGGAAGGCGGTTGGTTACACAGGGGCTGTAGTGGCAGTCTGTGCTCCAGCTGCCTTTGCTGCAGCTCAACCATACACTGGAGCATACTGGTTTGGTCCTCCAGCAGCCTCAGCATTGAATCCTGCCTCCTCTCATCATGCTGCCACCACATTTGAGCTTCAGCCCTCTCTTCAGCCCGCCACCTCTCCTCCCGGTCATTTTGTGCTTTCCTGCACTCTGACATTATTTGCCTCCACGCATTCGTCTGTGCTCTGTCAGTGTGGGAGGACTGCATGAGCTCAGAGAACATTTCATCACAAGTGCGTTTTTTTTCCTTTCTAATCTTCACTAGCCTCTGGGAAGGAGAAGATCCTGTGATCATTGAAACACATGCAGCTGGTGGAGAAAAAAAAAGGGACAGCGGTATTTAAAAAGACACATTTTATAAAACAGTGGCTACACTCTTTCAGGGTAAACCTTGCTGTTAACATTACATACATAGCACATGTGCTTTTGTTACAAGGTCGCATTTTGCCTCCCCCCACCACGTGGCTAACAGCGGGGAACATTTCTGTTCTGCCACAGACAAACAGCTCAGCAGGAACGGGCTCCTCTGAATGTCCCCTGAAGAAAAGCACCCTATTTCAACCAGGAGACCATGAATGATAGCTCACTCTCCTGAGGATAACACAGAGAGATAAAGAACGGATGTTGTTTGAATGCCAGAAACATACACTGCAATGCTTTGTTGTACAATGATTCCCAAGTACGTGTTACTGGCCTGGATTGGTAAAGTGTCCTACCATGAAGGACGCAATAAGGCTGCCCTCCCCAGAAACCTTTTGCAAAGGCTTTGGGAGTACATCCAGGAGAGCTGCGAATGCCAGGGCAAAGTAATCCTTTCACATGCTTGCTTTTAAACCATGTATAGTATTTTAAAAGGTACACTCACCGGAGGTCCCTTCTCCACCTGCTGGGTCCAGGAGGCAGCCTTGGGTGGGTTCGGGGGGTACTGGCTCCAGGTCCAGGGTGAGAAACAGTTCCTGGCTGTCGGGAAAACCGGTTTCTCCACTTGCTTGCTGTGAGCTATCTACAACCTCATCATCATCATCATCTTCTTCGTCCCCAAAACCTGCTTCCGTATTGCCTCCATCTCCATTGAAGGAGTCAAACAACACGGCTGGGGTAGTGGTGGCTGAACCCCCTAAAATGGCATGCAGCTCATCATAGAAGCGGCATGTTTGGGGCTCTGACCCGGAGCGGCCGTTCGCCCCTCTGGTTTTCTAGTAGGCTTGCCTCAGCTCCTTAAGTTTCACGCAGCACTGCTTCGGATCCCTGTTATGGCCTCTGTCCTTCATGCCCTGGGAGATTTTGACAAAGGTTTTGGCATTTCGAAAACTGGAACGGAGTTCTGATAGCACGGATTCCTCTCCCCATATAGCGATCAGATCCTGTACCTCCCGTTCAGTCCATGCTGGAGCTCTTTTGCGATTCAGGGGCTCCATCATGGTCACCTCTGCTGATGAGCTCTGCATGGTCATCTGCAGCTTGCCATGCTGGCCAAACAGGAAATGAGATTCAAAAGTTCGCAGTTCTTTTCCTGTCTACCTGGCCAGTGCATCTGAGTTGAGAGTGCTGTCCAGAGCGGTCACAATGGAGCACTCTGGGATAGCTCCCGGAGGCCAATACCGTCAAATTGTGTCCACAGTACCCCAAATTCGACCCGGCAAGGCCGATTTAAGCGCTAATCCACTTGTCAGGGGTGGAGTACGGAAATCGATTTTAAGAGCCCTTTAAGTCGAAATAAAGGGCTTCATTGTGTGGACGGATGCAGGTTTACATCGATTTAATGCTGCTAAATTCGACCTAAAGTCCTAGTGTAGACCAGGGCTAAGTGTTGTAGGAGCAGCAGTGATCTGTATGCTATGTATAACCTGTATGCTCAAAGGGTCTGTTACACCTCCTTCTCCCCCTCCCCCAGCTTTTGTCTCCTCTCCCTCTTTAAATACCTGTAAAGTGGGTTTCCCCCTCCCCCTCCCTCCTGGAATGCTTGTGGGATGAATGGGCTGCTTAAGCAGCTGGAAGATCAGAAGAGCTCCCAGGTAGACAAGGTGTCTGGCACTCTGATTGGGCAGCGATCACACACCCAATGCATGGACACTGTCCGAGGTGGAGTGTGACCAACCAGACATTGGCCAAGTCATCTCTAGTCGCAGGCCATAAGGAGCAGGTCCTTAAAAGGGGAAGGGGCCGTGTGCTCAGGAGTGCACTCACAAGATTGTACCTCCCATGAAGGCCCTTCACCCAGACCGCCTGGCCAGTGGTTCACCGCGTTGCATTCCATCGTGCCTCGGGAAAACTTACCTTCATCGCACCGTCCATCGCTGTGCTGTGGGACACTTACCTTGAAGGATCCTGACATCTCCAGTGCCGTGTCTGTCCTGGGAGCATGAGTGTGTGCAGTGTGACCCCTACCCCCTTCTTTTGAGCTTAGCTATCAGTATAATAAATGTGCTGCTTTCTGCCAAACTCTGGTGGGTCATTAGTCCTCCCTAAGCTTACTAGCTGGCCCAATTTCGGGTAACACAGGAGGTGCTGGGGGTGCTGCTGCACCCCCTCACTTGAAGTGGCTTCTATTATATACAGGGTTTACAGCTTGATTCAATGGCTCTCAGCACCATCACTATAAAAATTGTTCCAGCACCCCTGATCTGAACCTCAATCCTTCGTGTGCTTTCAGATGGTGTGTAGGGCACCAACAAAGCCCAAACCCACTTGCACTCAGTCTATCCTGGGCCTCTCTTCACATGTTCTGTATGTTAAGTCCCATATGTTTTCTGTATCAGAATAATGTTCAGTTCTTTCAGGTGGACCTTTCTGTATGTTCGTCCAGCTATCCGTGCCTGCTATGGTAGAAACACCGGCTTCATTCTTCACCTATGTCCCAATATTTCCACATTCTTTTCTGGATAACTTTAGAGATAAGGGGTGGTTGGATTAGCCGATGAATCTCGGCAAGTGTTATACTTTCATTTCATTCAATGTTTAGTAGTTTTCTAAGGCATTTGCTTTTGAAAGCATTTAAACACTTGTCTATAGGGGGGAGAGCATAGTTCAACCTTCATGGCCATTCACTGCTCAAAGAGGGTGAAAACTAATGCTAGTTTTAATAATGTGGAGATCTGGCCGTAACAGGCTCTGACCACTGCTCTTTCCATCAAAGAGCTATCATATGTGAACAATTTTTGTTCAATACCAACTCTTCGTGGGATTAAAACAAGGGATCTAGAAGTAAGGCACCTCCCTATCCTCTAGCTGTCTGGTCTCTCAACTACAGGGTGCTTTAACCAAATGAATGAAAGCTTTTGCAGTTCTGCCCACTCCTAGACATGCATTATATTTCAGGACAAGATCTCCTGCTTGCTCATTCGATTTTTGCCAGAAATTTCTGTACTGGATCCACAGAGTCACTGATGATGTTGAATTATTAAAAGTCCTGTTTGTTTAGTGTTTGCTTTCCCATAGGTTTTTATATTGGATTTCTGGCTCGGACCTTGAAAATCTGTGGTTATTTTCTCTTTCTGGTATAAAACAAGAGATGTTTCCATGAAGGTCACAAGTAAGTGTAAGGCTGCTCATAAAGAGTGACTAGGCAGAAGAAGAATAGCTGCAGTCTCCTCTGGCTGATAATTCGCTCAGTTTGATTATTCACCCACATAGAAGGGTCACCATGCCTTTTTCTAAATGGCTTTATTCATGATGATCGACTTCATAGGTTCTCTAGTGCCCTTCACAGAATGTGAAGTATCACAGGAGTTTTCCCTGCTTTGGGCTCACCTTGCTGCAATGCTGAACCCAATGCTCAAGAGTTGAGGGAGTGGGGGTGGGGAATGTAGGGATGAGTGAACGAGTTTGGATGAAGAGAGAGCCAGCCCAGACTGAACCTCAGACCATTTCAGAAGTTCAAAAATATTTGGTTTAATTTGCCTGCGTCTTTTCACTTTCCCAGATCTTTGCAATTCATAGTTTCATCTGGTAGTGGAAGTATTCAAATACAGTAAGTGAGGTACATGGGGTATTTTTGACCCAGACGGAACACTGCCATGTCTTTTGCTGGCTTATGAGCACGTTGTACAGTTCACAAGTGCACTCGTGCTGTCACACTCTGACTCACTTCCTCTGGTGTACTCTGACCCATTGGCTCTGTGGTGTGCTCTCTGGCCTCCTACTCTCATTTGTATTCTCCCACACAAGCTCTCTCTGGCTCACTTGCTCTCCTGTGCCTTTGCTCTTGCTTTCTCCCTGGTTCATGTTCTTTCACTCACTTGCTATCTCACACACTTTCTGGCTTGTGTGTGATCTGCCATTCTACTCTCTGATGTCCCAGTCACAGACAAATTTCAGATAAGCAACATCCAAACACTGGGATGTTTAACCAAAGCTTTGAAAAACATTTTGAGTTTTGTCCTTCATTAGTGGCTATAAAAAAAATCTGCAAAATTCTAGCCTAAATCCATAAAATCTCTGAGATAAACCATGCACATAGTAGTAGGCTGAGTCTGAAGGGTATGTCTCTGGGGAGATTCCAAAGGCTGCAAGAAACTTCATTACAAACTTGGCACATTTAACAATGAAAGTGGTTCTTCCATTTTGAGATTAATTTGAGAGAGAGGAGCAAGGATTGAATCATTTAGACTGAAATTTTAATAACAGTCCATAGCCCTTTGCATTTTCAAAGGGCTGCACAAATAGGATTGATTATGGAGAAGGGGCAAAGAATAGATTATTATAATAAATTGTTCAAATATTCTGCATTTGTATTACTGTGTCAGCTTCCCAGCGTACAGGGGGTTGATTTTATTTGGAGTAGCGAGTACATAGCTCAAGAATAAAGATTCAAGAGGTGGATACTGCAGAACCTTCAGTACCATTGATCCAGAAATATCCATAATTCAACAAGGTGCATGAAAGAATGAAGCAGTGGAGGTGAAAGTGCTTTGACCAAAGGAGTTACCTCTAATAATGATATTGTACTTTTCATCTTCAGAGTGCTGTGTAGTCATTAACTAATTAAGCTATTGATCTAGCATGTACTCAGCAGGGTACCTGGCAGCTGTTCCTCATGGCACCGCTGCAGGGAATCAGAGGGTCCCTCTAAGCGGGAAATTCTCATCCCTCGTGTGGAGCCAGAGTAAGTGGGATTTGCATGGAGGTACAATGCAGGGGCATTGTGTGAATATGGGATCTGCCCCTCCCATTCCAGAGACAAGGCAACTGCACAGACAAATCGCTACACTTACTACATCCGCCCCAGCCTGTAATAGCTGTGACCCCTTAAGCATGTTTTTTGGCGAGAGCACCTGTGATGTTCATAGACTCCACTGCTCGCCCTTCTGAACCCCCACCTTCTTTGCAGACAATCACTGTGGAGTTTGGATGTGCTGTGTGTTGAGGGCTTCAAACAGTCATCCCAAAAATGGGATGACAACATCCATCAGAAGAGGCATAAAACTAGATCCTCCCTATGATATGATAAGTTATGAGAATTAAAGATCCCGTGCCAGTTTTAGGAGAGCTAAGGCCTTTTTTCTGGCCAAATTATAGGTTGGGGAATCAAAGTCTCCCTCCCTGAATTTCCCCACTTCTGTTTCACTACTTGACCTTAAGTGCTGTGTAGTGTTGCTGTGCCCTGTTAATAGGGTTACGACCTATCTAGGTTTTTCCAGGCTCTGTTAATAGGGTTAGCACCTATCCAGGTTTTCCCAGGATCATCCTTTTTTTGAGAGAGCTGTGCCAGAAAATCCGTAAGGGTGCTCAGCACACACTGCCAGCTGTCCAGTTTTATGAGCTCTGGATCATCCTGGATGATGCCTTTTTTTGTACCTCAGAGATGGTAACCCTATCTGTTAATAGCTGTTACATTTCATCCCAGAGATGGCTGACTGGTAAGTTAAGTTTTATCAGTGCAACCTGATGAAGGTAACCAAACTTCATTGAACCAAAGTTTAGTAAACTGAGGTTGACCTATCTACTTACTCTGTATATAATGTATATTTTGTGCTTTGATTTAGCCAGAATCCCTCAATGGAATAATTTCCCTGTATCTCAGTACAGCCAGCTTCATTATTCTCTGTATAATTTTTCCTATTAAGGAGCTTAGATGTCTGACTGAACCAAAATTTCCAAGGCCACTTTTTGAATTGACATGGTCTACATTGGTAAGCATGAAATGTAATATTTCATAAGTTACAGAGGTTCATGATTGCTCTAGATGTGATGATGGGACTATTAACACCGGACATTGCCTGCTGGAGACAGCTATTTCACATCCACTAACCCCTTCAAGTTACCAACTCTTATGAGGAAGCAGAGAAGGTCATGTTTAAAATCATATTTGCTAAGCAGGAAGTCAAAATCTTCTTAGGAACAGCCAAACGCAGTACTAGGGTGGCTGATTTCTTTTGCAATCCACAGAAAGAGGGTTTGCTCATCTTTGCAAAGCAGAAATAAAACTCTGGAAGCTTGAATTAGAAAACAACCCACTGCCACCAAAGCATTTGCTATCTGTTTGCTTTGAATATATGAAGGGCCTTGCTCTTTTCATTATTATCCATAAAGATAGCTCTCTTCCCCACAGCTCATGGGCTTTTAGCAGTACTGAATGCCCAGGGCTTGTGCTCCCAATGCCATAATTGAAACAACTGTTCTAGTTCCTAAATCCTTTATCCATTCACCTTTCAAAAATGTTGA